TACCTGAAATGTTATTGGGGTGACTTGTGGACTTTTGCCTCTGTTTGGGGTCTAAATTTCTTTAAGGTTCACAACTTCGGTGTGGTATCATTGGTATTTGCAGTCGCCACCCCCTTCTGTTTTTCTCTTGGACTTTGAAGTGTCTGTGTGTGCTTTTATCATGTCAGCCAGGGAGCGGCACCCTAGTCTGTCCCTGTGCTCGCCTCCCTTGCTGTGATTTCTGTGATTTCAAATGCGCAGGTAACTACACATATCACAGAGTCCTTCAGGAGGCTGCCTCACTTGGGTTTCCTTAGAAGATGTAAGACTGTTTATAATTAAAGTTTTTTGAGTTCTTCGGTTTTCATACTTTCCTGTTGGTTTTGTTAGGAAATGGTATATATCACATGTAGGAAAGCCTTTTACATGACTTTTTTAGGCAGTTGACAGCCTGTCTGTTGTGAGTGTATAGAAAAAATGCAGATCTGCTATATCAGAAAGCGATCAAAGCACTTGCTGCACAAGCATGCTGGACTCCAGCACCCATGTGAAGCTTGGAGTCGCGGTGTGCAGCAGAGCAGAGCAGCGGCAGATTCTTGAAGCTCTTTGGCCAGCTAGATAGCCTAGCAGACTAGATAAACTCCAGGTTCAGCAAGACCGTGTCTCAAAAGAGACAAAACGTACCCGCTGGTGAGTTACAGAGGGTAGTGTCATGCTCATGACCACACACATGCAGAAGGCTCTGATTCAAACCATTGATTGGGTCACCAAGCAAAAACTAAGACATGACAGTGGAATTGAGAGGGTGGGAGGGGCAAGTGTGACTAGAATGCATTGTATGTGTGCATGAAACTGTCAGTAAGCTTTTTAGGTGGAGCCAGGATTGGTGGTGCACACCTTTCATTCCAGCACTGGAGAGGCAGAGGCAAGCAGACTCTATGAGTTCCTGAACAGCTGGATTACATAGTGAGACCTGTCTCACAAACAACCCAAACAGCTGGAGAGAGAAGCTCAGTTATAACAAGTATTTACACCCCAGGGGTGGTGGTAGCAGTGTATGCTTTTGACACTCAGGCTGGTGGATCTCTGAGTTCAAGGCCAGCCTGGACAACAGAGCAAGTTCCAGGACAGCCGGGACTATACAGAGAAACCCTGTCTTAAAAGAAGAAAAGAAAGTGCTTACTACTCTAGCCGGGGAACACAATTCCGATTCCAGTGCCATTCAAGAGCAGCACACAGCCACCTGCAGCTCCAGTTCCAAGAGATCTGATGCCTCCTTCTCACCCCCATGAGACCAGTCATGCACATGGTGCACATACATGCACACATACATATATCCAGGTAAAACAGTCAAAAATCAATTTTTTTTTTAAGAAGAGACTGACCATTCTCCCCAGTCTGCCCCCTAACCCACTTAAGTACACCTCTTCAGAAATCCAAGCTTGAGGGTCAGTGAGATGACTGGGAGTCAGGCACTCACTGCTAAGCAAGCCTATGGATCTGAAATTAATCCCAGGGACCCACTGGGTGTGAGGAGAGAACCACTCCTGTTGTAAGGAGGCTGCTTGGTTCATTCCCGGCTGCTCAGACCCAAAATAATCACACAGAAACCATATTATTTAAATCACTGCTTGGCCCCTTAGTTCTAGCTTCTTATTGGCTAACTCTTACATATTAATTTAACCCATTTTTATTAATCTGTGTATCGCCTCGTGGCTGTGGCTTACCTGCTAAACTTCCGGCATCTGTCTCCGGCTGGGCTACATGGCTTCTAAGTCCTTCTTCTTTCTCCCAGCATTCAGTTTAGTTTCCCCCACCTAGCTCTATTCTACCCTAACAGGCCAAGCCAGTTTTCTTTATTCATTAATGGTAATCACAGCATACAGAGGGGAATCCCACATCACACTCCCAAAATTGTCCTCTGACTGTCACAGACTTGTCCTGTGGTATATAGGAGCCCATATATATATACAGACAAAATGTTTAGAAAAACATGGATAAGTTTAGCAAATTGCTCACTGGGTCAAGGTATTTGCTACATAAACCTGAGTTTAGTCCCTGGAGCAGATGGAAAAAGTAGGAAGAAAGAAAGAACCAATTCCACAAATGGTGCTCAAGCCTCCACATACACCCTTCACAGGAATCCACACACAATTGTTTAGGAAAGAAGGCCGAACCAGCAGAGAAAAACTTCAGGAAGTAGCCAGAAACTACAGACCCCTCCCAGATCCTGGTTGTTAGGAGAAGGTCTTTGTTACTCACTCCTGAGTGGGTTCCTCTTCAGCAGAGTGGCTCTAGGCTATAGGGCTTCTGAAATGCAGAGAAACAGCCATGCTATTTCTTTTCCTCTTCTCTAACTCAGACCTGTTCTATTTAACTTCCCTGGTATAGCAAGAGATACCATATCCACGCAACATCATCCCAGACTATCAATATGTGACCGGCTATACTATACTTAGAAAGGAATGATTATCTAAAGAAAATAGCTCCAAAGTATTAATATCATCCAAAGAATTAAATGGAGAGTTCAAACTGGAATCCAGGGTTGATTTTAACTCCAAACCCTTTTATACTCCATTGCTATTACAAGCAATGTAATTCTCCCCAGAGGCAACTCTGCCATCCTAATTAGACTTCAAGTCCTATCAAATAAATGGCCATTACAGTCCTCACCACAGAGCTGCCCATCCTGCATCCGCCTGGCTTATATCCTTCCTGTAACTAACACCTGGATTTCTAGGGACCTATTCACTATGACACTTCTACCCTATTTGGAATGAAGAGGTGCCCTGGAGGTGAGGTGCACTCCATAACCATTTCTTTATTTACTTTTTTTTTTTTTTTTTGAAACAGGTTTCTCTGTGTAGCCTTGGCTGTCCTGAAACTTACTCTATAGCTCAGACTGGCCTCCAGATCTGAGATCAGACTGCCTCTGCCACCCTAAAGGCATGTGCTACCACACCCAGGCTCCAATCTTTTCTTTTTAATGTATGAGTATTTTTCCTGCCTGTATTTATGTACACCATGTGTGTGCCTGGTGCTCTTGGGGTCAGAGGAGGTCATCAGATACCTTGGAATGGAGCTATAGTTGACTGTGAGCTGCCATTTGGGTGCTGGAAATTGAACCCAGGTCCTCAGCAAGAGCATCAAGTGCTCTTACTAGGTGAGTTCCCTTGTAGCAGGAGATCCCGCAGAGTATTGCACCTAGCTTGAATACCGGAGTGTTATCGCCCAGGCCTTTTAAAAACTTTATCCAGTGTGTCTTTCACATCATGCATCTCGATCCCATTCATTTCCTGTCCTTTCACATCTGCTCCCCGCCCCTGCACTTCCCCTTGAAGTAAAACAAAATTTAAGAGAAAAAATAACAAAATTAAAAATCTTGTCATGGAAGCTGCAGTGTGACAAAGTAAGTCACACAGTAAACCTTTTAGCCTTTGTGTGTTTGTATGAGACAGGGTTTCTCTGGAGCCTGTCCTAGAACTCGCTCTGTAGGTCAGACTGGTCTCGAATTCACAGAGATCCGCCTGCCATTGTGCCACCACCGCCTGACACACTACAAACCCTTTGACCACATATCTTGCAAGAGTCATTGGTCTAGTTCAAGGCCTCTGGTTTCTACAACACTATTGATGCTAGGCCCTCATTGAGACTCTTGGATATCCTGTTGTCCTGTGTCCCATGGAGATCCTGCTCCTTTGAATCTACAAGTCAGGCCCCCTTCACTTGCTCGAGCAGGTCATAGATGGGGTGGATGCTATACCCCCCCCATAGGGAGGGTGTCAAGTCATAACCCTGGTTCTGGACTGGGCAGCGGCAGGGTTGGCCCACCCACCAGTTCTCCCCGGTCCTCACCACCAGGATGAGTTCATTGCCCCAGCTAATTCACCCTTGCAGCAGTGAGCAAGGGCTGAGGCCAGTTCTACTTTCGGGCCCTCGGGGTCAGCTCTTTTGTGCTGTCCAGGGGAGGTGCAGGGGCCACTCTCCTGAGTGCTGCAGCTGGCGAGGGGAAAGGACAGTCCTGCTCTTATGACCCCGGGGCAGCTCCTCCACTGTCTCAGGCCCACAGGGCCACATGCCAGATGAGTAATGGGGACAGAGCCTTGCTGGCATCATCTGTATCACCTAAGCTTTTAGCTGACTTTTGTGATTGTTGCCTTTTGGCTAAGTTTTTTTGGTTTTTCGAGACAGGGTTTCTCTGTGTAGCTTTGGAGCCTGTTCTGGGACTTGATGTGTAGACCAGGCTGGTCTTGAACTCACAGAGATCCACCTGCCTCTGCCTCCTGAGTGCTGGGATTAAGGGAGTGTGCTGCTACCACCAGCTTAACCTAAATTTTCTGTTAGAAACCCGGATGTTTTTTGTAACCTGCAAGAGTAAACTTCTAAAGCAGAGGACAAGACAGGAAAATGCGTTTTCTTTTAGAGGCAAGAAACTGGTAGGGCAGAAATAAAAAGATTCTCCAAAGAAACACTGGAGTGCGGTGGAGTCCGCATCCTAAATCTTATAGTGCAGCGTAGTCCTGACCAGTTCATTCCAGAGCTTGTTCCTGAGATGCCCAGCTTCAGGGCTGCCCATATCCTCAGCTTATTTGGGCTCTTGTCTCTGCCTCAATCTGGGCCAAAGGGAGTTTCAGCAACAGTCGGCCTTCGCCCGGGGCCCTCGGTCGAGTATTGAAAACCAACCCGGCATCTCTCGGCACAGCAGCTCTAGCCTTTCCTGACAGGGAAGAGTCCCTGCCCAGCTGACTCACATCAGCCCCGCCCTTATCCCCACTGGCTCCTGATAGGCTGTCCGAGCTGTCCGTCTCCACAGAGAATTGTGCGCAGGCTCAGAAGGGCGGGGACCTCGCTGAGCGTCGGCGACTCGGAGCTGCTGGATCGGTCCGAGATGGTGAGTGTCCTCCCAGGGCTGCGGTGGGGGGCGCGGCTACCCCCGAGAGGCGCACGTCCGTCGCCGGCCGGGGTCCTGGTCGCTGGCGTCGCCTCGCGGGACCCGCACTGTGGGCCTTTAGTCCGGGCCCAGGCGGAGCGACCGGATGCCACAGGCCCTTGACCGGAAGCCGGTCTGTGAGGCGACGCCCCGGAGGCCCGCCCTCTGCTTCGCTTGTAGCCTAGCTTTTCGGGCGATTTGGGGCGATCCCAGCCAGGCTGCTGTGTTCGCTGGAGTACAGGGGGCGGTAGGCGCCCTAGGCGCTACATGCATTGCCTCCCCTCCTCCACTTTGTGAAGTAGGTACGGCCCCTAGCTCCATCTTCTCACTTGAGTCCAAAGCCAGCCGTGCTGGGGAATCGAACTCCATGGAGCTTGGCTGCCGCCTGTGGGCTCAGTCCGGTGTGCGGGTTGTTAGGAACCGTGGGGTCCAATCCTGGGGCATCCCAAAGCCGTCCGCTACCTTTCCAGGGTGGTCCTTTCCGTCCTCACGAGTTGTAGAGAATTTAAAAGGCCCTTTCCAAAGTTAAAGCAAACATCAGAATCGGACTGGCGTGGCGGTGCACGCCTGAAATCTCAGCACCGGGAAGGCGACGATTTGCACTTCAAGGCGAGTTCGTGTCGCAAAACAAAAACTTTATTAGAAACGTTTTCTTCAGTTTGTATGTATATGAATAATATTTTGCCTGCACCGTTGGCGTGCCTGGTGTTGGCACAGAGCCAGAAGAGGGGGTCGGCTCCTTTGTGAGCTACCATGAGTGCTGGAAGTCAAACTCCAGACCTTTGGAAAAGCGTTCAGTGCTTTTAGGTACTGAGCCGTCTCTTCAGCCCGCAGAAAACTATAAACATGTAAGAAACTGAGACGGAAAACGGAAGCGCATCACCTAGAGCAGTTTCTCAAGCTGTGGCTTGAGACCTCTTGAGGTTGAATTACCCTTCCTCAGCGGTCGCCTAAGACCATCTACATATCAGATATTTACGTTACAGTTTATAACAGTAGCAAATTTACAGTTATGAATTAGAAATGGAAATAGTCTGTGTTTGGGGGCTCACCACAATGTGAGGAACCTCTATTAATGGGTCTTCGCATCAGGCAGGTTGAGAACCGCTGACTTAGAGGCAACAACTACTTAGGCGCATTGCTTACTATGTTTTTATTAGCTGTAACCATCATCGACCACTCAATTGGGGGTTCTACGCTTTTCATTATACCACAAAGAATGTCTCCACCTTCAGGCTGCTTGAGGAACAGCCAGTTTCTTGTATATTTACACAAGCATGTGTGTGCCGTTTTTTTTCTATAATCGGTACTGTGCTGTTGTTTGCACTCAAAATTGTTACATATTTAGGTGAACATTCCAAATGACCTCGTGCGGCACTGTCGTGTGTAATCTATAGGAAGTGCATGTGGTCCCTTACTTTCCCAAGCTAAATAGTGTTGACAGTCAGGTATGCTTCCTTCTGGATTTGTTTGGTACATAAGGACTGTTTTATGCTCTGTGCCTTTTATAGATCAGGTTACTTCAACTTGCTACTTAGCCAAGGATGACTTGAACTTCCAATCCTTTATCTACCTCTAAAGTGCTGGGATTTTTGACAAGTGCCACTATGCCCAGCAATATTGCACGAGACTGGAACAATTTGTGCATGTTTGTCATGAGGTTTACTTTATGACATACATGTTTATTTTAGTCGGGTGGTGGCGGCGCCCACCTTTAATCCCAGCACTCAGGAGGCAGACCGGTGGATCTCGTGAGAGTTTGAGGCCAGCTTGATCTATGGAGCTAGTTCCAGGACAGCTAGGACTGTTACACAGAGAAACCTTGTCTCAGAAAAAAAAAAAAAGTTTATTTTGGTCTGGAGCCATGACTCGGTGATATGAGTACATTCTTCCAAAGGACCAGTGCCCATATTAGGCAGTCACAATTGCCTGTAATCCCAGCACCCTTCTTCTGGACTCCTGGGTCACTACACTCATGTATACAAACCTATAGACATGATTACAAAATAATAATTATATATACATAATATTATACATATATTTTCACTCATTCCTCCGTTCACTTAAAGACATCTAGCATTGGCAGGCATGGTGACTCACATCTATACTACCAGCACTTGGGAAGCAGAGGTAGGGCAGGTTTCTGAGTTCAGTGCCAGCCCAGTCTACATAGTAAGACTGTGTCTTTAAAAAAGAAAGAGAGAGAGAGAGAGAAAGAGAGAGAGAAATAGGTGGTGGTGGCACATGCCATTAATTCTAGCACTCAGGAGGCAGAGAAAAATGGATCTCTGAGTTTGAGGCCAGTCTGGTCTATAAAGTGAGAAACCCTTTCTCAGAAAACAACCAAAACCCTATACTACAAGAGGCTGTGGATTTGAACCCCAGGAGCATTCATACTCATTCCAGACACACACATAGACACACACACTTTTCCAAACCTACTTCATTTTAAGGCTGCATAGTCCCCTATGCCCATATACACATTTAGTTTACAGTTTCCTCTCCCTTGTCTTTGACACTCCTGCCAGTATCTACAGGACAGTATATATTGGTGGAAACTGCTCATTAGTACAATTACATAACATCATCCACACTTTTTATTCAGTTTTATCTACCGTGTAGCTGTTTTCCCCTTTTCCTGCTCATTTTTACATATGTATCTTTCAAGATGTTCATGTTTTTTTATTTAATGTTCAAGAGCTTTTAATCATGTTATCTCTCTCTCTCTCTCTCTCTCTCTCTCTCTCTCTCTCTCTCTCTGTTTTTTGAGACAAGGTTTCTATGTGTAGCTTTGGAACCTGTTCTGGAACTTGCTCTATAGACCAGTCTGGCCTCAAACTCACAGAGATCCGCTGGCCTCTGCTGGGATTAAAGGCGTGCGTTACCACTGCCTGGCTTGTTACATCATCTTTATGATAAATTATTTTTATTTACTACATAGTAGTTGGAAAATAAGTGTGTGTGTTCGTGTGTATTTTGACAAGGTCTCAGTGTGGAGCACTAGCTGTCCAGGAACTACAGAGGCTAGGTCAGCCTTGAACTCACAAAAATTTACTGCCTCTGACACCTGAGTGCTGGGATTAAATGTGTCCACCACCATGCCCAGCCATGGTTGTATGAGAATTTGCCAAACTATTTCCCTGGAGTACAGTTGCTTCCAATTCCTAACTCAAAGTCATAGTGCTTTGGTCTATAATTTTTGATTGGTATTTTAAATTTTATTAGATTATTTCTTTATAATAATTTTCAGAGTTGAGACAAAGGACCAGTACTTGGCGTTCTCACCTTGAATTGTGTCCCTTCCCCAGGCGGTTACCTCAGTGAGCCCAGCATCCAGACAGTGCTGCATTGCTGACTTCCATTCCTTTATAAGGAATGATGATCTTGTAGGTGTTTGTAATTTATCTTAGATTTGTTTTCTACCTCTTATTGGATACTTGTTATTTTTCTTAATTATTTTATGTAATGTTTTTAAAGTTATTTTTTCTGTTAAATTTTGCTCTACTAGGGATAGAGCTCAAGGTCTCATGCCTACTGGGCAGATCTGCCACTGACCTACATCAGCTACCAGTTTTTGAGACAAGCTCCTTATGTAGCTCAGGCAGGCCTTAAATTCACTATGTAGTTTAGGCTAACCTAAAACTCATGATTTCCTAAATGCTAAGATACTGAGATACTGGGTGTGGTGGCCCCAGACCCCATGCATCCTGGGGCTTTATTGACGCATATACACCTAACTAGAGAGCGCATAACTTGTCCCTTCTTCACCATTGCATAGAGGACATTTTTTCACATGATTTAGCTTTATTGGGGGTGAGAGAGAGATGGACTCAGAGGTCAAAGGTACTCGCTGCTCCGTCGTGAGAACTAATCTTTGGATACAGCACCTGTCTTGGACAGTTCACAAATACCTTCAACTTCGGACAGCTCCAAGGAGCCTGCTGCCATCTTTGGTCTCTGTAGGAATCTGCACACACAAATGTACGTATACTCAAACAAATCTTTGTTTTGTTTTTTTGAGACAGGGTTTCTCAGTGTAGCCTTGGTTGTCTTGGAACTCACTCTGTAGACCATGCCGACCTCAAACGCAGAGATCCACCTGCCTCTGCCTCCCAAGTACTGGGATTGAAGGTGTGCGCCACCAACACCTGACTACAAATAAATCTTAAAGATAAAAATAGGCTATATAATCAGGCCCTGTCTCCACAGACCAAAAGGAAATAAAAAATATCAAGAGGCTGAGGCAGAAGGAATGCCACAAGTTGGAGGCCTGCCTGGGCTATAAAATGAAAATCTTCACACATACACACACACCTAGCAGTAACAGGCTGTCTAGTTATCTTTCTAGTGTGTTTTGAGACAGCATGACCATGGCAGTTCATGAAAGAAAGCATTCACTGGGGCTGGCTTGCAGTTTCGGAGGGTGAGTTCACTGTCTGTCACCATGGTAGGAAGCAGACAGGCATGGAGCAAGCAGACACAGCAGACAGAGGGCCTGGCATGGGCTTTGGAATCTCGAAACCCACCTGCAGTGACACACCTTTAACAGTCTCACACTTTTAAGTTCACACCTCCTAATCCTTCCCAGCAGTTCACCAACTAGGAACCAAGGATTCAACAAACTATAGCAATTTATACAAGAAAGTGTTTCATTTGGGCTTATGATTTCAGAGGGTTAGAGTCCATGATGGCAGTGCAAAGGCATGCCAGCGGGAACATCTGCAGTTTAGAGGCACACACTGGGAATGGCCCGAGTCTCTTGAAGCCTCAAAGCCTGTGTAGTGACATACGTCTTCCACAAGATTACACCTCTTAATCCTCCCGGAGCAGCTTCACCAACGGGCAAACATTCACACACAGGAGCCTCTGGAGGCCATTCTAATTCAAGCCACCACATGTTACATATTCTCAAGATGTTAAGTGTGTTGCTGGGGGGGGGAGGCAAACACAGGTGACTCTGAGTTCAAGGCCAGCCTGGTCTACAGAGGGAGTTCCAGGCTAGCCAGGGCTGCACAGAAAAACCCTGTTTTGGGAAAAAAAAAAAAAGATTTGAGTGTGTCAAGCCCCACAGCCCCCATAATAGAGACCTCTTAGAAGGAAAGAAGCTAGCTAACACTTGTGTTTTTCGGCCTGTATGTATGAACATCACATGTGTGCCTGGTACCCAAATATGCCCGAACAGTATGATGAATCAATCTCCTGGAACTTGAGTTACAGGTAGTTGTGAATTACCATGTGGGTTCTGGGAACTGAACCCAGGTCCTCTGCAGAGTCGCCAGTGCTCGTAACTGCTGAGCTATTTCTCCAGCTCCAAGTAAATCTGTGCATGTTTAATATACAGTAGAATTAAAAGAGATACTTAGGTAATGGTTTGGTTAGTATATTTATATATTTTTTGAGATAGGATTTCATGTAGCCCAAGCTGACCCTAAATTTTCCTCATATCTAATACTGATTTTAAACCCCTGATCCTGTTTATACCTTTGCTTCCCAAGTGCTGAGATTACAGACCTACAGCACCACCATTGACTGACTAGATGTTTGTTTATTCATGTTTTCCTGCTTCTGGCTTTCAAGTGCTGGTGTTTATAGGTGGAACCCACAATGGTTAGCAAAAATGACTGTTTTGAAAAAAGAAAATAAACCCAATCTATAATTCCGTGTTCTGTATGGCTTTATTTTTTTAGGAAGTTGTAGCCACATGGAAAGCACTTTTTGTACTTTATTATTTTTGTGGAATATCAATCTCAGACTTTGGAGGTGGTGTCGTGACCTAATCTCTCTCAGGCCATGTAAACATCGCCTGCAGTGGATGCTGTGTCCTCCTTGGTCGTTTCCTGAGGACTGGGCATTTCTGTTCTGCTCTTGCAGGTGGCACTGCCCTGGGCATCTTGCTACATTCCTTTGTTTCTCTGGCATTGTTTGCATAGGATGGATTTTCAGTAGGGTGACCAGGATCTACAGTGGTTCCCCTTCCATCCAGAGCAGCACCTACATGTGGTCGGAGGTTAGGGAGTCTGCCATGACCAGGATCTGAGACATGTATATCACCCTCACTGTCCTCTCCTCCACAGAGGCATCAGGCTACTTGCCACTTTGTAGGAGTGCCTCTACCATCCCTGCAGCATCTGGCACTGTTCTTAGAGGAAGTAGGTGGTGGTGACTGGATTGTCAGCCTGTGCTCTCCAGAAAAACAATCCATTGTGCTGTCTTCAGTTGTTCAGGAGCCCCAGCCCTAGCCCTTTTGCCCCAGAAACAGAATGATGTGAATTTCTGTGACTGGTACCCATTTCCAAAGATCATCTGCTTTTTTTTTTTTTTTTTTTGACACATGGGATGTAGACTAGGCTGACCTTGAACTCAGAGATTCTGCATTTGAGGAGCTTGATTAGATTCTGAACCTCTGGAGGAGACACCCTAATAAAAAGTACACTACAAGACCAGGTTCCCAGCCACGGGGAGAGGAAGGTTGGTTAGACTTCTGTTTATGGGCTCCTACTCTACTGACCTCTGTAGAGCCTGAGTAATTAGTTACAGTACCTGATGTATGTCTCACTGAAGCATAGTCAAGGGCTTGAAGAGTTGAAGGCAAGATCATTGATTATAGGCTTCAAAGAAGACATGATCCTCACGAAGAGGTGGTCTGAAAGACTTGGGTGTCAGAGAAGCCTTAAAGTTTTTCTTTCTTTCTTTCTCTTTTTTTTTTTTTTTTTTTTGTTGTTGTTGTTCGGGACAGGGTTTATAGCCCCTGATGTCCTGGATAGCTCTTCTAGACCAGGCTGGCCTTGAACTCACAGAGATCTCCCTGTCTCTGCCTCCTGAGCGTTGGGATTAAGGGTGTATGTCGCCACCATCCCCACCCCCACCCCCCAGGTTTCCTTTTTTTTTTTTTTTTAAAGAGTGTAGGGGAGGGCCAGGTGTGATAGTGTACACCTTTAATCTCAGCACTCATGAGGCAGAGGGAGGCAATCCTTGTGTTTGAGACCAGCCTCATCTACGTAGTGAGTTCCAGGAAAGCCAGGGCCATGTAGAGACCCTGTCTCAAAAACGAAAAAATAGATGGACAAGAGATGTGACTCTGCAGCTGGAGAACAGATGCAGGGCAAAGTCTTGAATGACAAGTTAGAAGCATGTATGACAGGAAGACTCAGACATCTCTTTGTGTGTCGACAAGCTCCACTTGAGCTGTTTCTGGGTTATCGGAATTAGTGATCCCCTTCCTAGGACATTCCTGTGCCTGTGTGCCGAGTGTTACCCTGTCTAGATGACACATTAAGTAAGCGGGTTTATTATGGGGTCATTTTGCTCCCTGGCAGTATTTTCATTTGTGATGTTTGAGCCACAAATAAAGTGCCTCCTTCCTGTTAGAAGCTACTATTTAGGGCTGTTTTGTTTTTCAAATCATCAGAGTACTGTACCGTCTGTGTGTGTCCTGGGTGTGTCTGTACTCCAGAAATGGTGTTTATAGTCTGCTCTCAAATAGCTGATGGGCAGGGAAGGGATAACTGCCTGGTGGTAAAAGGCCAAAAGCAGCTCCTCATGGCTGAGACTGAAGCTCTGGGTGCCAGTGTTGGCCTAAGGAGCACTCTGCATGGGCCTGGCCTGGGCAGCTTTGGAGCAGTGCCAAGTGGCTGGGTGTTACTGGTTTGTTAGATGGATGTGTCATTCATATGCTGGGATCTGAAGACCTAATCTTGGTCTCCTTTTCTGGCAGGCAGAGGTGGAGGAAACACTCAAGAGACTTCAGAGCCAGAAAGGAGTGCAGGGAATCATCGTGGTGAACACTGAAGGTAGGCCCTCACCCATGGCCCCCATCCAGGCGGGCCTCCAGAGAACAGCCCCGACACCACATGCCATTGCCCTCCTCAGTCCCTTCACAAACCCAGATTCCTTCTAGTTTTTTGTTTTGTTTTGTTTTATTTTCAACATTTCCAAAGTTCTGATACTATTCTTGGGATTTTCCCCCTTTTTTGTGAAAAGGTCTTGCTGTGTAACCTAAGTTGTCCTGGAACTCACAATCCTCCTTTCACCTCCCACATGCTAGAGTTACAGGCACGCACCACTTGCCTCAGACATCTTTATTTAGTAAATGGGAAAACTTTCTCAGTCCTGCCGCACTGAGGCGCAGCTGCCAATAACCCATGGTTTCTCTGTCCAGCTCAGTCCCACCGCACTGAGGTGCAGCTGTTAGTAACCCATGGTTTCCTCTCTCTTGTGGCGATCAGAGTTGCTAAGACTTGTGTTTTGAGATAAAGTCTCACTGTTCTCAAACTCACTGAGATCCTTTGCCTCCTGGGTGTTGGGATTAAAGTATACACCATTAGAGCCAGGAATAGTGCCAAATGCCTTTAATCCCAGCACTTGGGAGGTAGAGGCTGGTTGGATCTCTGAGTTTGAGGTCAGCCAGGTCTACATAGTTCAAGGATAGCTGTCTCAGAAAGAAAAAAAAATAAAAAGGAAAAAAAAAAGTCTTTTCTATCGCACCTAATTGTTACTCTTTTAAAATATGTTTACCTTGAGATTTTGTAGATTTCACATAAGCAAAAACTTTTTTTAAAAATTTCTTTTTTTTAAGCACTAAGAATTGAAGCCAGGCCTCACACCCACTAAGCAAGTGCTTTGTGACTGAACTGCTCCTTTAGCCCCTGTAAGCAAAAAATTTAAGTGTCAGTCCTAGCCTGAAACTCATTGTGTAGCCCAGGGTGGCCTAGAATTTATGGCATTCCTTGTGAGTCTATCTTTGTTAGGGTTACAAATTTGAGTCACTTCCCAACTAAATACAGTGTTGATTACTCTATTTAGTTGCTGCTACTTTTGTGTGCCCACTAGATGGACATTATGGATCCATCTGTGTTGATTTTTACTTTTCTGTGTGTAATTCTCTGGTTGGTCTCCGTGTGCCCAGAGCTCTTCTCTCTTTCCGGGAATGAGTTTGAGTGGCTAATGAGTTGTGGATGCTGAGTCTCCCTGCACCAGAGGTGTGTGAAGGGAGCTAGCAGGAAACACCATATTGTTCCTTCCAGCAGCCCTGCTGCCTCTGTTTATTGACAAAACTTGAATTTATCAATTTGATTGATTGCCTCTCATTTCAAAGCTAAGGTCTTTTCTAAGATAAGTATTCAACATGTATGTGCAGTGCATAAGGAGGCCAGAAGAGTATGGGATCCCCTACAAATGTAATTACAGAAGGTTGTGACTGGGACTCGAATCAGATCCTCTGGAAGAGCCATCTCTCTCATCTGCCAAGGCAGGGTTTAAATCTGAGTCTGAGCGCACCTGCGTGCTCTGTGGGCCATGGTGGACCCAGCTACCCTAAGTGCAAAGGCTGTGCTTCCTGAACTTGTGCTCTGCTTCCCCCACCGCCCTGCAAGGATGGCCTCAGCAGTGCACTTAGGCCTGTAACCTGTGTGTCTACAAACTTGGATACAAAGACTTCACTCAGACAGCAGTGTGCAGCACTTTGCACTCACCCTCATTTCTGACCCCATGACACTTAAGAGTCTTTACCTAGTCAGGTTCCTTTGTTGGTTGAAGGCATCACCACATGCTTCCTGCCTCTAGACTACACACACAGGATTTCATGTAGTCCACACTGGCTTTGAACTTGCTCTGTAAGCTGCCTCCATCTTCCAGGTGCTAGTGTAGGACTCCAGGTGTGGGTCACTACTGTTATTTTAGAGCTTTTCTTTGTCTTTTAAAACTTTTTTGGTGTTTTTGTTTTTGTTTTTTGAGACAAGGTTTCACTGTGTGTACCCCTGGCTGTCCTGAAACTTGCTCAGTAGATCAGGCTGGTCTTGAACTCAGAAATACTCCACCTGCCTCAGCCTCCTGAGTGCTGGGATAAAAGGCATGCCCCTGGCTAAACTATTATTTGTTGACAATTTCATGTATGCAGTATATCTTGATTATACCCGTGTCCTCTCTCCCAGCCCCCCAACAACACTCACCTGTCTACCCTCTCATCTTCCTGTACTATTTTGTTTTGTAACCCACTGATTCTATAATTAATTAGCACTGCCTACTAGAATGCTCACTGATCTTAATGGTGTGAGCTTGTGCAGGTAACCAGAGCGGCAGTGAGTTTGTGGGCACAATGCCCATGTCATGTCAGAAGGCAGCATTTCACCACCACTCTCCCATCCTTTCTGCCCTCTCTGTCCTGATGTTCCCTGAGCCTGGGCTTAGGCTGAGCACTCAACACTCGCTTTAGTGAGCTGTGGTGTCCGCAGTGCTGCCCACTGTAGAAAGGTTTCCTTGGCCAAGGCTGAGAAGAGCGCTAATCTGTGGGTAGAAACAAATATCTAGACAGCAGTCTGGCAACATGTCCATTTAGCAAAATAATTGTAGTAGTATCTCCCCTAGGGTTTGTGACCTCCCAAGCCATGCATTTTGACCAGACTTGTAGTACCAAGCATGAATTTCCTCTTATGGAGCCGGCCTCAGATCTAAGCAGAAAATGATCATCCCCATATTTATGCCACTATTAACACCAGTAGACATACCCTGCTTGGCATGTATTTAAAATCTACAGCTTTGGACTAGGGATGTAGAGCAGTTGGTTGAGTGCTTACCTAACATTCAGGGAACATTGAGTTAAACCCCCAGCAACAAATACAGTGGGTAACTTGGCACAACTTATAACCCCAGTACTCTGGAAGCTTCAAGCTGCTGATACCACCATCCAGAAGCAGCCAATTTTAAAACAAAAAGGTAGGCATGGTGGCACACATGCTTAACCTCAGTACTGACGAGGCAGAGGCAGGCAAATCTCTGAATGAAAGGCCTAGCCATGACTAGCGTAAACAACAAAACCTTACTTACCAAAGAAAGACCAGAAAGACAAACCCGCTAGCAAATACAAAAATAACATAAACCATTCTGCAGGGCCAGAAGACAGGTGTATACCAAGACACTGCTGCCAACATCAGCAGTTTGGCTACGAAAGGACCATGAAGGCAAGACCTTGTCTGAGTCACTGCTGAAACTCCTGCTGTCCATCCTGCACAGTGATATTTGTTAAATGAAAAAGCCTCAGTCAACACACTGAGGAATGTGTTCCAGGATGGCCTAGTAGAAGAAAAGGCAAGCGAGAACACGTTAGATGCCATTCTCCTTCCATTAATAATCATGGTAATGGCAATGCTAGCAACATGCTGGAAAAGAACAGGTTTCTGGTCACCATTACACTCTGTGAGAATCAAGCATTAACAGTTTCCAAAATGAGGAGCCAGCCTTGGAGAGAGGTTCACAAACCTATCCAAAAGACAGTAAAGAGAACTCCCACTAAGCCTGGTAGCCCCTTCCTCTAGCCTCTGGCCCAGTATGTAGACAGACAGACGGCTAGCTGACAGACTAGTGTGCCAAGGCAGCAAACACAGCTTCTGGGTGTGAGTAAGCCAAGGAGATGGCTGTCTGAGACGGCTAAAGCTGGCAGTCTTCATCATTTAAGTCTATTCTCTTAGTCCATGTTTTTACCCTTGCTTAGAATGCACCTTCTACTGTTCCCAGTATCACCCTCCTTCCTCCGAATCTCATCTTTAAAGCAGCTAAGCTCTAGGGCTGGAAGACGGCTCAGCACTTAAGAGTACTTACGGCTGTTGCAGAGGGCTCATGGTGGTTCACAACCACCTGTAACTCTAGTTCTAGGGCATCTGATCCCCTCTTCTAACCTCCACAGGCTCCTGCATGTACACGGTACACATATATGCACGGTACACATATATGCATACTCATACAAACACGCTCAGGCACACATACATAGACAGTATTTTAGAAAAAGAAGCAGCAGCTAAGTCCTTATCCAGGTGTGGCAGTAGATCTGTAATGTCTGTACTCAAGAGGATGACCACAGCAAATTCCAAGTTATTCTGGTCCTCATCATGAGTTCTAGGTCAGTCAAGGCTACGTAATGAGACCCTGGTTTAAAGAGGTGGCGGGTGAGTGGTGGTAGGCAATCTTTTTTAGCCATAACCCATTTTGCCAACAAAGAAGTGGAGATTGAGAGAGATCAAGTAGGCACCTGGCATGGTGGCACCAGCCTGTACCCAGCACAATGGCCCAAGAAAGTCATCCTCAGCTTCATAGTGAGTTTAAGGACAACTCAAATGACCCCTGGGGTCCAAAAACAGGGGTCAGCGGTGGATGTACCTAATAGGATTGTGCAGGCTTTGCATTGTCAACAACAATGCACACCTAGGTTAATACAGATTGACAGCAGCATCTAGTAAAATTTTCTCTTTTCATGGCTTTGTACACACTAGGTAAATACTCCACCCATCAGTTCCATTAAAGGTCTCGGGCAGGCTTTTTTGTGGCTCTGTGTGGCATGCCTAGAACTTGTGCTTCCTCGGTAACTAGCTACTTCTGCAAGCTACACAGTATTGTGAAGGAAAAGGATTGAACTAGGTTGCCTAATAGTAGGCCATCTGTGAGGTCCCCGGCTCTGTCATCCTTGAATATGGACTTTTGTCCCTGTTTGAAATTCTTCTGAATTTTGGTTCCTTGCCTCTTTACCTCTTTTTTTTTTTTTTTTTAAAGATCGAGCCACTGTGGGTTAAGTTTGTTGGTCCTTTTACATTTGCCTACTTGATATATAACCACATTCATTCTGTTATCTGAACCACAGAAAGTAAACCCAGAAACAACTCAGATACCAACATCAGTAAATGCTTAACGTATAAGCACAGATGAGAGTAGGTCCTGCTCTGAGGGAACTTAGGGTCTAGTGAGAGGTGGGTAAATGTCTACTTTCCTAATAGTGTGGTGCTTGGATCCTAACTACTCTAAAGGAAAACTGCCTGGTACTGGGATATCCCCAGACTTGAGGGTCCTTCCTCTAGGATCATCCGATTATGGACAGATGATAGTACATACCAGTTACACTGTCACCTTCAGAAAGGTACAGCTGTAGAGGCCTCATGGGCTCAGGTGTACACATTGTTGCTATCTAGGACCCAGTAGCAGCACTGAGGCCCCAGCTTGGTCCCTTAAAGGCAGATGACTATTGTAGCCCATTCTTGTGGCTTCACTTGACTCACAAAAGCCTATCCTGCTCAGAGGCTTCGCATTCCTGGTGCCTTAATCGAGTAGGTTGAATAATACCTACCTTTGGCTATTCTGTAAGTGGGTCACTTATTGGACAGATTCACAGGGTCCTGGGCCACTTGGATACTACATTCTTCATAAGTGTTACAGTCACCTCTGGACTTCACTTGGATGGAGCTTTCCGACAGGTCACAGCCAGCTCACAGGCACCTGATGGTCATCAGGTTGAGCCACATTCCCCATCTCCATGACAGCAGGACACCCAGTAATGTCCATTTAATCGTTCAGTCTTCAGAGAGAGACTTGATACACAATGATGGTCATTGGCTGGTTCATTGTACCAGTAAAATCCCAGCCTAAGCATCCAGCAATAGGGGAATGTTGAATCTAAGAACTGACTTACTTCATGGACTCTGTATTTTGTTGTGTTGTGCTAGGTATTGGACCCAGGTCTCAGAAAGTTCTCTCTTTACCACTCCACTACACCTCTGACCCCTTAGTGGGCTCTTTTTAAAGACAGCAGTGCTGCTTACATAGAAGCCCACTGAAGTAGGGAGGTAACTTCATGTATATGTGGTTACAGCTGAGCCCTGAGCCAGTCCTAACAATAATGGCTTTTGTTTTGTTTTTGTTTTTGTTTTTTTGTTTTGTTTTTCAAGACAGGGTTTCTCTGTAGCTTTGGTGCTTGTCCTGGAACTAGCTCTTATGGACCAGGCTGGCCTCGAACTCAGAGATCCACCTGTGTTTGCCTCCCAAGTGCTGGGATTAAAGGTGTGCGCCACCACCACCCAGCTAATAATGGGTTTTGTCTGGTATGTCTTGGTGCAAGCTGACATCTTTTCTTTCTTCTTCCTTTTCAGTCTCTCTTCTTTTTGAGACAGGGTCTGTGTAGCCTGAACTGGCCTTGAGATCTGTCCAGAGAGCTCCTGCCTGCTTTTGCTTCCCAAGTGATGACTGAGTTCCAGCTTTAAGTGTTGCAAGAGTACCTCTCCTTCTATTGCTTGAACCCTAGAGAAGGAGTACTGAACTGAACCAGGCCTGCATTTAAATCCTTACCATTTGTGTACCTAAAGGCAGGTCACCCCATTATTCAGCTCTGTTGCCTGGTAGCAGTGGAGATGGTGATACTACCCACAGATGCTCTGGCACAGGTACACAAGGTCAGCGCTGTGCCTTCTGTAAATAGTGTCATTGTCTGCTAACTGCCAGCCCAGTTTTCTAGAATTAGGGATTGTGAGGTGAGACACTGAACAGAAAGGGGCTCCCATAAACTGCTTGGTTTTCATTTATTCTTCCCGCAGGCATTCCCATCAAGAGCACCATGGACAATCCCACTACTACACAATATGCCAACCTGATGCACAACTTCATCTTAAAGGCACGGAGCACTGTGCGTGAAATTGACCCCCAGAATGACCTAACCTTCCTTCGAATTCGCTCCAAGAAGAATGAAATTATGGTTGCACCAGGTAAGGGTTCTTGCGCCTCTAGCTTAGTTTCAGAACCCATCGCAGGTTCCCTTTGGCTTATCTGAAAGTATGGCACAGTGTTGTCTCCACAGCTTCAAGGTAGGCCTCACATGGGAATTGGAGAAAGACACAAATGTTAGCACTGGTCATTCTCAACGTGGTAAGAACTCCATAAGAATTAAGGACATGGAAGGGTTGATCAGGTCTGCTTGGACAATCAACAAAGACTTCTCAGAAGCAGGATGTTAGAACTGATCTTATGGGCCAGGAAAATATGAGTCAGAGGGGTGGAAAAGCTATTTCTATATGAAAAAGAATTTATAGTCCTGTCTCCATCCCGTGCAGCCAACCCCCCACCAGCACTGGAGCAGATCGCTATTCTGACTCATCTGTGAAAAGCTTGTCTGGGTAGTACAAGCATGGCTGTGTTTAGGCCTTAGGATCATTCTCAGTGTAATGAGATGCTCACACTTGGAGGAGTCCACAAGGGTGGGACCTGCAGAGGGGAGGCGTGGGGTTGCCTCCTGCTCTGCCTCATCTAACTCAAACTCACAGACTTCCGTGACAGTTTCTATAGGATTCCTTTTCTGTGGTTACCTCTTTCCCTGTCTTTTAGCCAAGCCGTGGCTGGGACATACACGAGGTCTTACACGGTGATGCCTCAGGTTGTAGAACAGCTTGCCTATGAAGAACGTGTGAAAAGTGTGACTTGGGTTCAGCCTAGAAGGGGCCACAGACTCCAGACTTAGCTGTATGTGGATCTGATCCTGAGCAGAGGCGCTTAGAGCAGAAGTGATGATTAGGAGTTGGGGTGAGGGTCGATGGCACACACCTTTAATCTCAGCACTCAGGAGGCTGAGGCAGGTGGATCTCTGTGAGTTTTGAGGCCAGCCTGGTCTACAAGAGCTAGTTCCAGGACAGGCTCCAAAGCTACAGAGAAACCCTGTCTTGAAAAACTAAAAGGGAAAAAAAGAACCAGGTGCTGTTGTGATCCTGAAACACATCAGGAAGAGTATGTTAAGATCAGGTTAGAGCTCAGCCTTGCAATCCTAATTGAATAGAAAGTCCACGCCCACCCCAGCTTCTTTCTGTGGGACTATGGAAGACATATCTCCATGTCCCTAAAACTGGTATTGGGAATCATCTTTCCGTTTAGTAGTTACCAATGCAGACTTGAGGTGCCCAGTGGCACACCTAGAAACCTAGTGTAAAGGACAGATGACACAGAGACGAGTACCTGGAAGACAGGGTCTCTCCAGCGAAGCTCCAGAGATGTCTGGAAGGCCTATTCATGCAGTGCAATAGTACCTCCAGTTTGTCCTCTGGGGCCCATGAACATTCATGGTGTCTGTGGGTAGTTGATGCTTGTTCTCATTGGGGTTCACGGGTTCAGTGGTTCTATCAGTGGAGTTAAATGGCCAGACCTTCACATGGGCAGCATACAGAGAGGTGCAGGGAGTACACATCCTGGCACTTGATCTGGCTGGTAGTTGGTATGTTGGAGGTGTGTGACATGTTAACCATAAGCAGTGGTGTTTCTTGGGACCACCACACCGCTGCATCTCCCTTCCTGGGGCCTTCTCACACACCATCCTCCTGCTGGAACATGCCATCATTCCTTATTGCCTGGCTAACCAGCTACTTAGCTACATTTCTACTGTTTCTATTTTCCATAGTAAGTTTTATTGGGTAGGGACTCATAAGCACAGTGTTTAACAAACACATTAAACAGGTGACTTTTGTTGTTTTGAGATAAGATTTCTCTACGTAGCCCTGGCTGTTCTGAAACTTATTATGTAGTCCAAGCCAGCCACTTACCTCTGCCTCCCAAGTGCTGGGATCAAAGGCACATGCCCCCAGACTTGGCCCCCATATAGCTTAATTTCCTCCCATTGTAGATACCCCCTGTTATGGGTTAGACTGGATTCAGTAGAGGGGTAGAGTTAAGGATGTTTGGGATATGGTATTTAAATATTTATGTATGTGTGCCTGGGAATATGTATGTGCATGCAGTACCAGTGGAGGTCAGAAGAGGGTACCAGATCCCCCTAGAATTGGAGCAGCAGAACATTGTGAGTTGCCACGGGAATGCTAGGAACTAATGGCAGGTCCTCTACAAGAGCAGTGCCCACTCTTAACCAGCCGCTGCGCCGTCTCTCCAGCCCCCAGGACACAGTATTTCAAGTGAAAATCAGTGGCACATACTGATTTGTTTACCCAGTTTTATGTGGTTAATACAGAAACTCTGGGTTTGGGACCAGAACTCCGTGAGCAGGAGCCACTGACAGCTGTCAGAGCTCTCTCAGAGGCAGCAGGACTAGAATGCCTGAGGATTACCTAGGGCAGCCACAGCAGGGATCAGGCCTAGCTGAGTCTGTGGTCTCACCACGCAGTGTGAGCAGACTGGAGTGAAGAAAAGGAAGAGATCCAGTCTCTTTCTTACTCACTTGCAGCTTCCTGGGCCAAAAGTTTAACTCTTCATATTCTAACAAATCAAGGTATTTCACACAGTTGGCCTTACTAACCTCACTGATGCAGGACAAACCACTACATCCCTGGCTGTCCAAATGGCTCAGCTAGTAAAGGACCTTGTTGCCAAGCCTGACCACCTGAGCCTGAGTCCTAGAATCCACATGGTATAAAAAGTTAACCACTTCCGAAAGTTCCTGCAGGGACCCCTCTTCTGACCTCTACTTGGCATACTCCAGCATGTGTGCGTGCTTAGTAAAATTTAAAATGTACAATTTTTAAAACACTGCCTCCCTCATGGTACTTAATTTGGTACTGTAGGATTTAGAACTTGATAGCCTGGTTTTGCTGGTAGCTTGTTAATTGTGTGTGCAGACTGCTTAGCTACAAAACAGTTACTTCTCACTTGAAACAGCCAGTTGTCATGGGTTTATTAGTAAAATGGTAGGCCACTAGCACCTGCCTAGAGTGATGCTAGGGTTCCCTGAGGTGCCACCTGAGCTGGCATAGAGACAGTCAGATGACGAGAACATAATGCCAACTTCTGTATACCTGTAGAACCTGCAGTCTTTGTCCCTCAAGAGAAGAGCTTTCAGCCTGGAGAGATGGCTCAGCAGTTAAGAGCATGGCTGCTCTTGCAGAAGTCCTGAGTTCAGTTCCCAGAACCCACATGGTGGCTCTCAGTCATCTATAGTGGGATCTGATGCCCTCTTCTGGCATGGAGTTGCACATGCAGACAGAGCACTCATACATAAAATAAAAAAATCTTTAAAAAAAAAAAAAGATCAGAGTTTTCATGGCATGAGCTCACCATGTTGCACTCTGCTTCATCCTCACCAGATCTGAGGCACCTCTGCTAAGCTCAGCAAAGCTTCAGTTGACATGCTGTGTTGAACAGAGTGCCTGCATCTAAAGTCCATAAATGGATTTGGGATTGAGGGTATAGCTCAATCCTATAGCATTTACAAGACCCTGGCGTTGACCCTTAGTACTGCCAAATAAATATATAAATAATAACAATAAAGGGAACAGACTGATTCAAAACATGACTAAAATCTGAATTTTGCCTTGACAGATGGCACTTTGCCATGTTTTATTGATAAATGAGACCTATCATCTCTATGGAGTGTGATTCATGAGACTATCACTGGAAAATGCTTCAAAGAAGCAAATAACTTCCTGTGATCTTTCAAAATGTTGGGATTTTTTTGGGGGGGCATATGTTATAGAAGGTAGAGATCAGCAACAGGCTTATTAAGATGAATTGAGGCTGTGCTTCTCAACCTTCCTAATTCTGCGAGCTTTCAATACAGTTCATGTTCTGGTGACCACAGCCATGAAATTATTTCATTGTTACTTCATAACTCTAATTTTGCTGCTGTTAGGAATCGTGATATAAATATCTGATAGACAGACCACAAAGGGGTCATGACCACTGAACTAAGACATCTCTCAATCATATTAAAATCTCATTTATACTAAAGTGTGTATAGTACACCCTTTACTATTGCAGAGGTAGAGTACAACCCTTCGGAGTTGGTTGTTTCTTTCCGCCATTTGAGTCCTGAGGTTTGACACTCAGATTATTAGGCTATCTTGCCAGCCCCAGCTCTTACTTATTAATAAAAATTAGAGTATGCTGCAAAGTGTCCACTGCCCTGCACATGAAGACTCCATTTTCTAGTAGCCACTTGTCAGGAGGCAATAAACTTGTAGATTATCTCCTGTTCCAGCTGTGGAAATAACCGCCACCGCTGCTCTTCTGAGCGCTTTCTCCTCTCCTGCACTATATGCTTAGTGAGTAAGGAGATGCTGTGATCTTTCTCCTGGTTTATATTTAGTGATGTTTTTCTGCTTTTTTTCTTTTTCAGATAAAGACTATTTCCTGATTGTGATTCAGAATCCAACTGAATAAGCCACCATCTCAGCTTCCTATGTCATTCCTTAATTTAATGTCCCCCAGAATAAGTGTTAATCATGTCAGTGGGCACATGGTGGTTGCCTGAGAGCCCATGTAGACCATGCCATTGATCAAGGGTAGCTCTGCCCACTCCAACAAGGAATGTCTCTGGCATCCAGTTAGTTCCTGGGAAAGCTTGGATCTCATTTCCAGGCTTCAGAGTAAGAGCTTATGATAAGCCCACACCCAGCTTCCTTCTGACCTTCAGTTCACAGTCACTTTTGGAAAGCCTGCTTTTTTCTTTTACTAAAAATAACTTCAAAACCTGCCTGACTGTTCTGTCTTTACTTGTTTGGAAAGGCCTGTTCCTATGTCAGCAAATGGTCACTGACCAAACCCATGGTCTCGATTCCCTGGCAGGTTTTCATGGTTCCTGGGTTTGTTCCTCATTGTGGAATACTTCCTGAATAAACCTTGGTATATACTGGTTGGTACCCTGGTTCCTGGGCCTTTACCCCCTTAGATTCCTGTTTGATTAAATCCTACTCCTGCTAATGTTTTGGGGGTTTTTTTTGTTTTGTTTTGTTTTGTTTTTTTGAGACAAGGTTTCTCTGTAGCTTTGGAGCCTGTCCTGGAACTAGCTCTTGTAGACCAGGTTGGCCTCGAACTCAGAGATCCGCCTGCCTCTGCATCCAGAGTGCTGCGATTAAAGGCATGCGTGACTGCCCGACATGCTAATGTTTTTCTGTTGCAGTGGCCTAAGTGAGGAAGAAAGTGGTGTCTGCCAAGTGCCCACAGTGCACCCAGTGTGCCTGAGGTGCTCACATCACTGTTAGAACTGCCGGACAGCTGAGTGTGTGGGTTGGAGGAAACAGGTAGTCTCCAGGACCTCACGGCTGCACACGTGGTCTGTAGGTAGCCTGCTCTTTCACAGTTTTCCTCAGAAAACCACCTGTCTTTCCCTGGTGAGTTCATTCTGGGTGATCATCCTTCTACCTGTAGCATGTACAGGGGGAGGAGGTCCTTACCAGGAGGTCTCCCCAAGGCTCTAGACTACCACTCTGCTGCTCCTCACCCTGAAAGCCACCTGTATTTGCCATTACATGTCGTTACATGTTTGTCTTTTGTTCCTTGTTGCACAGAAAAAAACAAAAATAACTTGGTGCATCTTTGTAATTCTAGTGGGTCCTACAATGACTTAGAAGAATACACTGTCTAAAAAATAGAATGTTCAGGAGCTGGAGCAATTGCTTCACATCTAAGAGTGTGCACTATTCTTGCAAAGGACCTGATTTCAGTTCCTAGCATCGATGTCAAGCAGCTCACAACCACCTTTCACTGACTGTAGCTGCAGGGGATGCCTCACCCTCGACTAGCCTCCACAGGCACCTGGGCTCATACATACATACCCACACACAGACACACACATAAGAATCTTTATATCGGCGAATCAATCCCACACATGTTTTAAGGGGTTATTTATTATTTGGGGGGTAAAACTTACATACACCATAAACCGTCAGGAAGGGAGCCTAGTCGCAGGAGCCGGGAGCAGGAGCCAGGAGCAAGCACCGGAACCAAGAGCCGGAACCAAGAGAGCCTGATCCGGATCTGCTTCTCTTTTTAAAAGAGAAATATACCACGCCCCAGTGGGCTGGTATTTCAGCAGCTATTGGCTGACGGAGCGGAAGTCAGCTCCCCGCTGCACTGTGGGCTCGTATTTCAGCGCCTATCGGTTGAGGCAGCGGAAGTTACTCCCACAACATCTTTAAAAAAAAAATTCCAAAGGATCATGGTTGGGCTCAGGAAAACACTCACTGGTATGAGCAAGGCCCTGGATTCAATCCCCGGAACCCAGTAAACAGTATGTATCTAGTTAGAGTTATGAAACTGTCTTTAAAAAAAAGATTAAGAATTAATGAAAAGAGACTGAATTTGAAAGAAAGCAAGGAAGTTGAACAGGAGACTATAGTAGAAGGAAGGGGGGTAATGATGTAATTATAACCTCAAAAATAAAAGAAATAAAAAAGGGTTGGGGCTGGAGAGATGGCTCAGAGATTAAGAGCACTGGCTGCTCTTCCATAGGTCCTGAGTTCAATTCCTAGCAACCACATGGTGGCTCACAATCATCTATAGTGAGACTTGGTGTCCCTGTCTGGCATGCAGGCAGAACACTGTATACATAAGAAATCTTTTTTAAAAAATGAAAAAGGGTTGGGGCTGAAGAGATGGCACAGCAATCCAGAGCAGCTGTGCTGTCCTGGGAGGACCGAAGTTCACTTCCCAGCCCCCAACTGTGTACTTCACAAATGTCTGTCATATACATGTCCACACTGTACATAAAATGGTGGCTTAAATTAGCAATCCCAGCACTGAAGAGGCAGAGAGTTCAAGAGTTTGGAGCCCGGCCCAGGAGGGTGAGGGATGGGGCAGGTAGCTCAGTTGGTAAAAGCACTTGCCACCAAGCCTGATGACCTGAGTTTGATTTCTGGAACCTACATGTTGGAAGAGAAAATCAAAGTCTGAGCTGACTATGGTTGCTATGGCACACATACCCCACAAATGCATTTTTATTTTTGTGTGTGCACATGTGTAGGTCAGAGGGTGGGGCCTGACCCAGTTGTCTCTGCCCTATTTGGCTGAAGTCTTCTAACTGAGGGAACAAACTTAAAAATTTTCCTGACTTCCTCAGGTGGGTCTGATCCTGAGGGACTCACTGGATGTTGCACAAATCCATCCTGTGACTGACAATAAAATCCTGAAAATCCTTCAAGACAAAACCCCTGCCCCTGAGAAGTGGTTGTTTACAAGTATCTGGAGAGGAACAGAAAATGCTTAGTTAAGGTTTTGATTGCTGTGAAGAAATACCATGGCCACAGCAACTTTTCTGAAGGAAAACATTTAATGGGGCGGCTTACATTTTCAGAGATTTAGTCCATTTTCATCATGGAGGGATATGGTAGCCTATAGGCAGACATGGTGCTGGAGAAGGAGCTGAGAATTCTACATCTTGACTTGCAACAGGAAATGGTGTGTCTCACTACGTGTAGCTTAAAGCCTACCCCCACGCTGACACACTTCCTCCAACAAGGCTACACCTCCTAATAATTGTGCCACTCCCTTTGGGAGCCATTTCCTCTCAAACCACCACATTCCACTACCTGGCTCCCAAAGGTTTGTAGCCATGTAATAATGCAAAAATACATTCAGTTCAAATTCAAAAGTCCCCATAGTCTATCACAGTCTCAACAATATTTTAAAGATCAAAGACTCTTGTGAGATTCATGTTATCTCTTAACTATGATCTGTTAAAATCAAATTTAAAAGGCAGACCATATACTTCCAACATATAATGGCACATGATATACATTATCATTCCAAACATAGGGAAGAGAGCATAGTGAGAACATACTGGACCAAAGCAAGAATGAAAACCATCTGGGCAAACTCCAAACTTCTGATGACAAAGTGTTCTTCAGAGCTCCAACTCCATTCAGTTTTGTTGACTGCAACACTTTTCTCTCAGGCTGGTTCTTTTCCTTGTTGGCAGCTTTCCTTGGCTGGTATCCCATGGCTCTGGCACCTCCAACATCTTCAGTTTCACAAAGCCAGTTCACCTTCAGTTTCACAAAATGGTTTCTCGGGGCCTCCATTCAGGGACACCCCTGACACAGGCCTAGCCTCAGTGACTTTCCTTAATCCCGGAGGCAAATTCCGTAGCCCCTTTGTTCTATCCTTAAATCCGGAACCACGTGGCCAAAGCTGCCAAGTTCTGTTGCTTATTGAGGCTGTATCATGGCCCCCTTGTTCAATTACATCATCTTTGTACACCAGATTGCCCTCAAACTCAAAGATCCACCAGCCTGTCTTTTTAGTGCTGGGATCAAAGGCATGTCTCTCTCTCTCTTCTCTCTTCTCTCCTTTCTCCTCTCTCCCACCCCCACAGAGTTTAGAGCAACAGAGACAAGATTCTGTCTCCAAAAACAAAACAAAAAAACAAAACCCAAAACTTTAGATGTACCTGGATAAGCAAGACCAAGTACAAAAGCAGCTTGATTTTTGTTCCCCTCCACATAGAAAGCATTATCTGTGACCTGCTCATGGAACCAGGCACTGTGAGTCTACCCTCCTCAACTGTCACACAGCCCTAAGTGTCTGGCCTTAGCCTTCCTGCCCACCTTACGCCATCAATATTGCTAAGAGGCTGTTGAGCTGGGAGAGGCAATTCATCCACACTTCTTTAAGTATCTGCTCCCCTCCTCTCTGCTGACCCAAACTGAAGCCAGATCACCCCTCCCTGATTATGGGTCTCACAGCATGAAGCCTCCTAGAAGCCACCTCTGTCTTACATCCCACTCCACACATACACACACATATAGCCCAGGCAAAAGGACGAGGCCACATGGCCCATTTGGCTGTGGTCCTGTCTCAGGCTATTTGTCTCCTTGCATGTGGACAAAGAACTAGGTCTTGTGGTGTCGGCAGAAACAAGATGATACTAAGTCCAATTTAACATCCAAATTCACAGCAAATGGGAACTGGGTGGTGTTTCAAGTTTTCTGGAGTTCTGAATACCTTCCTGATGTGCATTTGATTTTAGTATCCTATTAGGAAAACAAAATACAACGCCTGCACTTCCCTTTTAATCATCCTTCATGGACAGACTTCATCTGATTATTCACTCACCTGGTACTTGGTGAATGCCTACTATGCACCAGAGCCAGCCTACACATAAGGACATAGCAATAAGAGTAGTTTAATGTAGGTGAGACAGCCAACTAAACAAAATGTAACTGTGCTTGGGTTCCACCCCAGACAGACAGTTCTTCAGAGTGAGTCTATGGACACTTGTAGCCTACACTATGTTAAGAACCAATAACATCGGGCAGTGGTGGTGTACACATCTTTCATCCCAGCACTCAGGAGGCAGAGGAAGGCGGATCTCTGTGAGTCTGAGGCAAGCCTGATCTATAGACCAAGTTACAGGAAAGCCTGGGCTGTAGAAAAATAAAACAAACACAACAAAAAAACCACTGACATAAGTCAGGTAAGCCATGGTTAGTGTCCACATAGAAGGCTAAGAACACACTGAGAGGTAGGAAAAAACAATAAAACATGAAGAAGGGGTCAAGAAGACGGCCTTTATGGGGAGGGGGGATTAAAAATATGAAGAAGGAATAGAAAAATGACTCAGCAGGTAAGCATTTTTTTGAGTAATTATAAAGATCTGAGTTCAGATCCCCAATTCCTACAGGTGTGAGCCTGTAGCCCAAAGACTATGGAGGCTGACAAGATTATTGCTGGGGCCTGCTGGTGTTGTGTGATATT